TCTTCTCAGTTCCTTGTGCAGAATGAGTCCACCCTGGCCTTCCTCCGAACCCCAAACTCACAACTGGAGGCTCAGCTCTAAGGACTTGAATCTGGACTCCAGGAACTTGGGGCCAGGGAACAAGGGCCCTAAGGGTGGGGCGGCTATAGGTAGGGCTGTTTGAGGCAGAACGGTGCCCTGTTCAGCCAGGTCAGTGGGACCCCGTGTCACAGCAGGGCACTGCAAATGACTCTGTAGTTATAGTTCATCAAATTGGACACCCCCGTGGAGCCCACAGAACATGAGATGAAACCGCCTGTGGGAGACTGAGAGGAAGTAGAACCTGGGGGCGGGGTTTCTTCCCCACCGCGGGAATTTCTCCAGATGCTGCCACACCCTCCTTCTCCTGTTCCTTCACTGCCAGCTGTTCTGCAGACGATTTTATCTGCAAGGGTTCCTGGTGTCTCTAGGATTGAAATGGACTGCGTCTCCAGACACCTGCCCCCCATAACTGGTGGGGTGATCGCAGCACTTTGGGGAGGAAGGAAAGGCTAATTAAGGGGGAAGGGAGGGTTGTTTCAGCTTGAAGCTCCGTCAGAGTCTGTATCTGCATGCACATGCACACCAGCGTCAAGGTCTGCGTGTTTCTCCTGTGTGTGTGCACACGTATGTAAATTTGCACTACGTGACATGTGCATGCACATGTGTATTCATGTAATTGTGTGTGGGGTGCAGTGTGTGTGTGTGTGTGTGTGAGAGAGAGAGAGAGAGAGAGAGAGAGAGAGGAAGAGAGGCAGCGAGTCCCCCTCCCAGCACACTTCGGGCTGGGCTGTCTTGCAGCTCTGCGCCTTGTTATTGCAGTGCAGCCAGAGCCCAATCATTACCACCAGCTGGAGACATCATTTGGTGTCATTTGGCTTTGCAGAGCTCCTACCAGTGAGGAAACCCAGGAGGGGAGAGTTGTCTTGGAAAAGAACAAAAGTGAAAGAGAAACAAAAAGCAGAAGAGGCAGAGGGAGGGGAGGAACTGCAGGCTTCTTGAGGAGAGCAGAGATGGAGAAATGCATGCAGGCGACACTGTGGGTAAACCGAGGCAGGCTGGGGTGGGAGGAGGAAAAAGAAAGGCCTTTAATTATTATGTTCCAATTAAATAAAATATAAAAATAGTAAAGATAAAAAGGAGAATTTTTGTTGTCTTTTGAGCCATTTGAAAGCCTACCTTCCCCCTTCCCACTTCACATATCACAAAACAGTGAACCTATTAGACAAATTCTCAGGAACTCAGGAGACAGCTTACTGCAGTTGCTCCTTTGGGGATATGTCCAAATTTTAATCCACTCATCCCTTGTTTGGCTTCCCTTTGGACCTGCCTCTGTACACGGGGCTTGGAGGAGACAAGGGCAGGAATGTGAGGGGCTTCCACCCTGCAGCGGCTTCGGTGCTGTCAGGTGTGTGAGCATCCCTTGGAGCCCTGGGTTTCAGGCTGCTGGATTCCCTCCCACCCTCCAGCCTGCCACTGTAAATCTTCCATGAACTGTGGCTTGGTTTATGGTAATGGAAGAGAAGGGATGATCAGGTGGTTGGATGGTAGGAATTAGGTATCAGTCAAAGAGGGCACCACTGTAGGTGCAGAGGCCCTATGATGTCTCCAAGAGTCAGGGCTGGAAATAGTGTGTTCAGTGCTCTTAATCCAGAAATCTCTCCTGATTTTGTAAATTTTCAATGATGGAGTATTCACAACTACCTCATTAACTTAGCCTTAACCGCCAGGAATTCTTGAGTCTTAGCTAGCACTGATGAAGACTCTTAGAAAAGGTGGCTCTTTACCATGGGACACTTGTAAAAAAAAAAAAAAATGGAGCTACACATGGTCTTTTTTAACATTTATCAACACTTAAGTCTGTGCTCAGTTTTCTTTCTTTTCATTTAGAGTAACATAGAATACAGTCAGGCATTAAAAGAGGGAAACACTGAGAATACAGCAGTGGGGAGTAAGCATAGCCAAATACCAAGAGCTGGTGTGCGGTATAAGTGTTGAACAGATGAATGAATAAGTGTAACTCATGAGAGTAATCAAGAAACTACCCACACAATGCACACCCTATTTCTTGCATATTTTTAATGCATTGGCACTGCAGAAGAGTGAAGGAACTTTATACGTGGTCCCATGGACCAGCTGCATCATGGTAACCAAAGTTCTTGGTAAATACACAGACCCCCAGTGCAAAGTCAGACTAACGACGCCAGGATCTAGGTGGTGATGCAGGACACAGGAGTTTACATTTGCTAACAAGCATCTTGGGAGATTTCTGATGAACTGCTAGGTCTTGGGGTCCTTGGATTAGCGATATGTTAGAGCAGCCTAGGGAGGTGTAGGCCTGCAGATGAAGCTAATATTGCTGTTCAAGCACTGGACCAGTGGGGGAGAAGACCTTGACTTATTCCTGGCAGCCCACTGTGTGTTCTTGGGCAGCAAGTCACGCCCCTTCCTGGTCTGGGTCTGGTCTTCTGTAGATGTTGAATCAAATAAGTTCCCATGGTTTTATAGTAATTAATGGGAAGAGAATGACAGTGAGTTCAAGATCACCTGGAAAATGTCCTTGAGATGCTGACGACCTTCCTCTGCCCTCTCAGCTTCCTTTGCCTACATGGGGAAGAGGTCAAGAGGCAGCAGGTGCCTGGGTTCAGGTCCACATGACTGCTTCACCCACAAAGGCTCCTGGAAGACTCGAGGACCCCGACCCAGACCCAGGCTCCCTGGCCCTCTGACAGTCACCCCAGTCTCCCGGAAATGGCACCAAGGGGAAGCTCTAAATCACGTGCGGATTACAGTCGTTCTGTTTGCCTTTTTCCGCAGTAGATCCGATGATTTAAATTAGGTCTCGATTCTTGTTTAAATTATAGTTTACTGTTCTGCACCCCGCTCAGAAGTGAATTACCTTAAGCAGCGGTATTAATAACATGGTTATAATTAAGCCTCATTACTGCAGGCAGTTTGCTGAAACAAATTGCTTCTTCATTATTATTATAGCACCTTTGGTAAAAAGACATTTCCCCAGAATGCGACCTTGATGCTTTATATAGTAAAAGCCGAGATATGATAGAGATGTAAGGATGAATTAGCATCTTTTGCCTTCTCTATCCGGCTCATTAGAAGGAAAGGAACGCAAGTCAAATCCAAACAGCCTTGATGGCAATTTTAATCTGTATGAAATGGATAATGAATAGTTTTGAACTTTCTGCGACATTTTTGTAATGGTGTTTTATTTATATGATGCTACTACTAAAATGAATAAATAAAAAAATACAAGCCAAGGAGAAGAGACAAGAAAAGCCAGGGAGGTCTCACCAGACAGCCAATGGCATTGAACTTGAGCTTGTTATCATCAATTGGTTTGAGAGTTTCTGGCCCAGAGCCTGTTACACCGGGCTAGAGGAGAGGAGAGGACGGTATGTCTATTTATTCTAATTCTGCTGCCTTACTCTGGCCTCCAGGCCTGGGAAAGGAAGAGGGCTGGAAGGTATGACCTAGAAACTTTGCAAACCAAGTTTGAAAGGCATGCCAACTTCTGAGAATGCGTGGAGCCCTAGGACATTCAGTTTTAATGCCCGCTGGGGCTCTGAAGGCTTAGGCACTGCACACCCTATCTGTCCGCTCCCTCTCACTCCCCACATCCTGTATACTGAGAAGGAAAACACATCTTTGCTGGCTGTAAGACTTGTCTTGGTCACTTCCTATTTTGCTTATTAGTTATCCTTTCTGGTGATAATTAAGACTCTGTAAATTAATTTTGTTTGGTGATTTACTCTCTTTTTGTAATTAGATGTGGTGATTACAATGCACTTCATATCACACAAGAATTTTCTTAGAAAGAGGCAAACAGAGGCTCACATGGGCACTCATTCTCATACAGGAATGTGGGCCCTTCTGCTAGGAGAGTGGTCTCTGCCAAGAGGGACAAACTCCTGACACAGACAGGCCACCCACTGTGGCCCACCTGAGCTTCCATGGAGGAACAGCTGAGTTGGGCCCCTGCTGCCTTCCACCCAAGATCCTGACAGGGTCTCATCCTGCTCTCCTGACTTTTTCTTCAGCTAGAGACCTAGAGACTCTCTAACCCCTTTAATTAGAGGTGCCATAAGGACATTCTGCATTGATATGCATGTTCCTGTCATCCAGACTGCCCCACGGAACGTGTGGCCAATCAGTGGGACAAACCCTCCTCCTCTTCCCATCTCTCTCTATCTCCATCTCCAGACACCCAAGGGAATGGAGTGGCCCTCACAAACCAACTACCCATCCAGAGTCCCTGTGGTGATAAATAGCTTCCCAAGGAACAGGAGGAGCTGCAGATGGCTTGTTCCACCCCAAGAATGTAAAATGCCATGGCTGACAACAGGGACTTCTGGAGTCAAACAGACCTAAACTAGATTCTGGGCCCACCAATGAAAAGCTGTGTGATTCAAGAAAAGTGACTTGTCCATTCTGAACCTCACCTTCTTTCCACTCCTAACTTACTATGGTGCCGGTGCTGTAAAGATCAAATGGGAGATTACATCCAAAATGCTGGGCAGATTGTAAATGCTCAATAAGTGGAAGCTATTACTACCGGCCCTCCTACATGCTTTTTCTTCTTTCCCTGGGGGGTGGGGGGGGTGACTCTTGTATTATGTACCAGGCGATAACTCAGCCTTTAGGAAGCCTGGGGAAAGGTCAGCAGGCCAGTTAGGAGACTGTCTTTATTACACAAAAAGCTCCCAAGAATAGCTGGGCCCATTTGGAAGAGGCCTCCAGGCCTCAAGCTCTATATCCCTTGGTGGCAGGGCTGCTGAGCTCAGCCTGGCAAATGAATGATGAGAGTCAGAGAAAAGAGACGCACGACTCTTCTCTGCTCCTTTACTGCCTTGCCCTTCCTGGACGCAGCTCTGGGGGTCATTACCACTCACACCAGCAAGGGCTTCAGGTTCCTATACTCACAGCCCATTGGGCACTTGCTACAAGCCTGGCACTGAGCTGGTACAGAGAAAGTCCCCCATGTTTTTTATGTAAGTCTTGACCTTAAATCGCTTACAACTTCCTAGGGGTGAGTACGTCTCCAGTTAGGGTTCAAATCAGGAGGTGTAGGAGCCAGAAATTCTCACCTGAGATAAGGGATGGCTTCTCAGAGGCTCTTGAAACATAGATAAAATACCCATGGGCAAAGAGGAGGAGATGATCAGATACAGACAGAGAAGTCCCCATGGGCAAAGATGGATGGGTGAGGCAGTACCTGGCATGCTCCTGAGCAGGACACAGAGATTTCACGAGGGTGGTCACAACTCAAGGTGTGGGGTGGGATGTTCCAGGAGCCAAGACCTGAGCAGTTGGTTGAGGCCAGTCCTCATATGACCTGAAAAGCCACACCAAAGAGTCTGAACTTATTCTGTAGGGTTTTGAGAACTGTTGAAGAATCTGGGGGGAGGTAAACATTTCTGTTTGTATTTTTCAAAGGTTACCCCTGACAGCCGCGAGGGTGGAGTGGCGGCAGGGAGGCCAGTCTGTGAGCACACCCAGTGATCTCAGCAGGAGGTCCCGAGGTCCTAAGAGGAGGTGGGGGGTCCCACATTGGAGCCCAAGTGGATGTAGGCACTGCTCCCCAACATTGGTGCACCCTGCCGTTGCCCGACTTGCTCTTTTCAGACAAATTCTCAGGAAGCAGAATTCCATCTTGTTCCCCACTTGATTTCCTCTTATCTGGACCTGCCCCAGGTTCTTTACCCTCTCTGACCTGTCCAGTCAGGCCTTTGGTGGACACAGCCAAGCACCGGTCACAGCCCAGTCGCTACTGAGTTCTAGTGCCCTTCTCAGCAGCCCCTTCATGGCAGCTGGCATTAGAACCATGTCCTCAGGTCCCCTCTCTCCCATCCTTCCCCCTTCCTTGACTGTGGTCTGACCCCTGGCACTCCTGCTGTTAGGACATTTAGACTCTGGAGTCACTATTGCATACTCTCCTGTAGGGGCCTGGGTGGCATTTGAGGCAAAAAGCCACAGGATCAAGGACTGAACATTTAAAGCCCTGCAGTCTCTTGTCATTTCCCTACTGGATGAAGAATTGTGAGTGCCGTTGAATGATGGCAAGCGTGCAATTAGATCAAAGGTCACTGCAGAAAAATAGCTTTGCCGATGTGAAGAAATGGGCCCCTTGGAACCTTTCACTCTGGTGTTCAAGCCCTCCGAGGCTGAGTTTCAGAGAAGCTTGAAGTATGCTCCTGCCAGGCTGGGGGAAGTCTCCTGCAGGGGAGAACCAAGCGCTGCAACCTGCCTGTCCCCGTGCCCCACGCGCTGCCAGCACCAGGCACAGTTCCAAGCAAGGGAGAAGAAGAGGGAGCTAAGCAGAGAAGGGAGGCTAGCCAACTCAGAACAGTCAGCTTGGTTATTCTGGGGCTGTTTTTCCAATTTGCAGTAATCCCCAGTCCCTCATTTCTTACTGTGGGGCAGAGCACTGGGCTGCGTGGCAGGTGGAAGCGAAAAGAAGGAACATCGAAGGATTGAGCTGTGTAGGCAGCTCTGGTCCACAGTTCGGACAGGAGGAAAGTAGAAAAGTGATAGTAACGTGAAACTAGTTTTCCCAGGAGCCCTAATTGTATGCAAAGACATTATTAAATATATAATTAAATGGCATTTAATATGTATCTCACTGCATATACACATCAGAAAAGAGACACTTTGTGCTATAATGCATTACACCACTCACCACAATTTTTGTACAGCAGGCCTTCCATAGCTGGGGGTTCCTATCAACATTTTCAACACCTATAGATTGAAAATATTTGGAAAAAAAATGTGGCTGTATTGAACATATAGGACTTATTTTTTGCCATTATTCAGTAAACAATACAGTTAAAAAGTTATTTACATAACATTTTCATTGTAGTAGGTATCCTAGTAATGTGGAGATAGTTTGAAGTCTATGGGAGGATGTGCAAATGTTATGTGCCAATACTATCCCAATTTATATGAGGGACTTGACCCTCTATGGATTTTGGTATCAAAGGGGACTTCTGGAACCAATCCTCCACAAACACTGAGAGACAACTCTACTTCTTTATGACTATACTACCTCAGACTCCAAGCTAATAAAGCTCAGAAAACATTTCAAATTCATCTGATTTCTAACATGTAGCATAGTGTTGTTAGACATAGTCAGTTCTCAATATTTATTGAATTGATCAATAAATGAATTGAAAGGGAGAGAGGGCACATACTAACATTTTGTGCATACATTCAGTATGAGGAAGGAGCATGGCCATCTATTATTCATGCCTCCTACACCAAATCCTAACCAGATAGCATCCTTCCATTGCTCTCAAGAGGATTTTAAAGTCCAAGAAATTTGAGAAGTTTGCTCAAATCACACAGGTATTCAAACCCAGTATACATGTAGTTCTAAAGTCTATTTTTTAATTACCTGTCCAAGATAGAAATTGTAATCAATATCTTTCTGGTTCCTGAGTATCAGTTCCTCCTTCTTTAGCAACAACACCCCAAATTTTCTTTCAAGAGACGTGCTTCACTTAGCCCATGTGCTCTGGTGGAATTGACTCAACTTCTGACTTCAGGTGACCTCAGGACTCAGAGGCACCTTTAAAAGCATGTCAGCTCCTCCCAGTAATGTGTTCCAGCCTTAGTCACCCAACCCAGGCAGAGGCACCAGAAACTAAGAATTCTTGCAAGAGAGCTATTGAGAGAAGGACTCTTTGTGGACACTCAGCCTTGTTCCCACCCTTCTCAGCTCTGCCTTGAGAAGATCTTCTCCAAACTCTGCTGCCAGCCAGATCCCTCCTAAGCCCCTTCCTAGGCCCCAGAGCATCTAAAGCTTCTCTAAATTCCAAAGTTTCAAGGACAAGGGTTTTTTAACTAGAAGCCTACAGGCTCAAGTCCTACCTTCCCAGCTGCGGCTCTTCCTGGTTGAGATTCTCCAAGTGGGTTAAGAACAAAGAGATTATGATTTCAAAAGCAGCAAAAATTTTCTTTCTCTTTCATTGCTATTCAAACAAACAAACAAACAAAACAAAACCTCCCCCTTCCCTAACTCACTACCTGACACTGCCCACTTTCCCCAGCCATTAGGTGAGATTTTTAAGGTTCCACAATTAGATTTTCATAGTTTTGTGCATTAACATAGGACCTCTGGCCACCATTAACATGCAACTCCCCTGGGAGAGGGAACATGGTAAGGCTTAGCAGTCAGCACATGTACTGGGAAGAACAGGACTTCTAGGCTCAGATGATAAAAGTGGGACGCTGCTGATGGCCTCAGGTTAATTTCTCTTGGCCTCAGTTTCTCCCTTTCTTCATGGGCAAATGGGGACAATAGGCCTTCCCTCACTGTGAGGAGCTGCTATTGTGACAGTCTTAGGAGGCCACTGGGTTGATTGAGGGCTCACGGGAGTCTAGGTGCCACATGACTCTCCACACACTCACACCTTTTCATCTTTATAGATCCCTATCAGAGCAGTGCTGTGATTGTCTATGTTGGCGTTCAGGACACCCCAAAATATGACTCTTTGGTATTTGAAAAAAGAAAAAACCAGAAGCAGGAAGTTCCCTCTGACCTTCCCCCAACCTTTCTCCCACCATAACACCTGGGAAGAATTTTCTAATCTTCCCCCAAAGTAGCTCAGAAGACTCTCACGTGAAAGATGCCCACCCTGACCCAGAGGAAAGGAACACTCTTATTTCTGAAGACACTGGGATGCAGAGAAAAATATGAACAAAGATCCTCTCTGTCAAGTTTTTCCTCATTAGCTCACAACCCCTTGGTCCAGTCACGCTTCTGCCCGGCTATCCACTTCCTCATCAAACAGCAGAAAAATACAGAGATGGCCTCATTTCTTTGGGTCTTCATTTCTCAAGGACCATGTCATTAAAATTTATATTAAACAACGTGGTGTGCTTTTCTCTTGTTAATCTGTCTTCAGTTCTAGGAACCTCAGATATGAACCCAAGATGAGAAGACAAGTCATTTTTCCCCCCGTACAGCTGCCTGTATAAATAAAGAAATTGCCACATGGAGAGGTTGAGCTACTTTTCCAAATATAGGGAACAGCATCTGAACACAAGCAGTCTGATACCAAAACCCTCAAATATTTTACTAAAACGTGGAAATCAGGTGGTCCCTGGGAATCAGAAAAAGAGGGTTTTGTTGGGGAGAGAAGGTGTTGGGAGCCTGGGGCCAGGAAGATAAGCTGCCCGAGGACCACCTTCTGTCCCTGCTTGCCTAGCCCAATGGGCTCATATATTCTTTAATGTGAAAATAAAAATAAATTATGTGAAAATTTATTAATCAATTACTTAATAAATTAGTACAACTTATTAAGCCGATTTTTGTGGAGAATTGTATGTGGCCAGGAAAGAAATTTCTAGAAAATAAGAAATTTTCTAGAAGAAGAATATAAATGTCTACCACATTTGTTCAATACCTGAAATTTATTTTGTATATGGGAAATACCTCATACATACCCTAAAGTGATATATAACACATATGGACAATCCCCCACACTGCGACCTGATTCTGAGGGTCAACCTTCAATTGGACGAGTCTGTGAGAAGAAGCCAGCAGCCTGTTCTGCTGTAGGGGGAGGTCTGCAGGCCGGCCTCCCCGACCTGTTTCTGCTTGGCTTTCCCAGGGAAGCAGGGGCAAGCCCAGGAGGCTGAAGAAAAGTTGCTTCCCTCAGTTCATTTCTGGGCTGGTAATGGTTTCCGGCCTCTTTATTTGCATCCATAATTGACAGCTCCTTAGCAGCTCATTAGGAAAGTAGGGCTCTTTGTGACCAAGAAAAGAGGGGAACAAATCCCTGGGGGTGGGAGAGTCCTTGAGAACCTGTTTAAGAATCTCAGAAAGACAGGAGACACAGATTCACAGGGACCAAGATCTCAAGGGGCTCCTCAGTAATCCCAGGAAGAGAACCACAGCTTCTTCACACTCTTCAGGAAGCCTTGATCCTGTGCCTGCCTCTGTGTGGAACAGATGAAGCAGGAGCCACAGAACAGTGAGAAAAGGGCCCAAGGACCTGGGCACTTAGGGAGTCCAGCCAGTGATATCTGCTGGTCTCGTTCAGGTCCAGCTGGGCTCTGGGGTTCTCATGTGACTGAACCCTCACAGTACCAGGAACCCCATGTCTGAGGGGCATTTATTAGGGGAGAAAAATTTGCATTCATTACTATAAGCATTTATTGGGTGCCATCTATTTACCAGCCATATTGTATATAATAGGTTGTTGTTTTGTTTGGTACCAGCCCTTGACCAATGAGCCATATCCCCAGCCCTATTTTGTATTTTATTTAGAGATAGGGTCTCACTGAGTTGCTTAGCACCTCATCATTGCAGAGGCTGGCTTTGAACTCGTTATCCTCCTATCTCAGCCTCCCAAGCTGCTGGGATTAAAAGCATGTGTCACCGTGCCCAGCATAATAGGCTGTTTTAATCCTCACAGTAGAATTAGAAAGGTAACACTCAACATTTTTAAAAATCATAACACAGAAAGGTTTACACAAAATCCACAGCCAAATCTTAGGAGTCCAATAAAATTTCCCCACAGAGGTACAATGAACAACCCAGGGGCAACATGGAAAGTGTAGAGAAGATGTGTGGACAGCAAATTCTGCAAGAATTCAAGGAAGTTAGAGGCAGCTCTGAACTAGGCAAGTCAGTGTGGGATTCCTAGAAGGGGAGGACCTTGAGCTAGGTCTCAGAGGATGAGGAGGTAGGTGAGTAACTTTAAGAAGGAAGGATTTATTTTGGCTCATGGTTTCAAAGGCTTGTCTATGGTCCGTTGGCTTCATTGCTCTAGGTCTGAGGTGAGGAAGAGCTTCATGGCACAAGGGCAAGGTGGACAAAACTTGCTCAGCCCATGACCGCCAGGAAGTGGGGGTTGGGGAACAACTGGCATGCCCCCAGGGACGTACTTCCTCCAACCACACTGCACCTGCCTACCACTTCCACCACTTCCCAGGTGTGCATTCAGCTATCAACGGATGAATCCACTGATGGAGTCAGAGCTCTCATGATCCAGTCGCTTCCTAAAAGCCCCACCTCTGATGCTGGCTGCAGTAGGGAACAAGACTTGAACACTTGCTGCTTTGTGAGACTTTCCAGATCCAAACCATAACAGTAGGGTTTGGAGAGATGGACAGAAGGAAAAGACACGTGGGCTGGGGTCCAGGGAAGAGGGTGGGTCAGCAGTAGATTCACAACAGAAGACCACAATGTCTTCTTGGGAGCAGGTACACTGGAGCACTAGAGCAGGGGGAACACAGGATGGGGGTGAATAAGAGGAAATGGCAAGGAGAGAAGCCAATCCCAGGTTGAAGACTGGGGGCCACAGCCTCTAGGAGTTGGGAGCCACAAAGACAATTGAGAAAAAAATATAGTGCTACAGAAAGATGATGCCTAGCAGGGAAGGAGGGGGATCTTCTCTACTGAGGACCCAGCAATCTGACCAGGGTTGGGGAAGGGCCTGGGGCTAGCTCCGGGCTTCAGGGAAGGGTCAGGCTCCCCTAGGCTGTTTCAACCAATTTATTCCCTATGTAAGTCAGCTTTCTGTAGCTATAACAAATATCTGAAATTATCAACTTATAAAAAGGAGAGGTTTATTTTGGCTCACAGTTTTGGAAGTTCTAGCCCATGAATGGTTGGCCCTGTTGCTTTGGGCCTGGGGCAGGGCTACATATCGTGGTGGGAGCACATGATGGAATAAAATCACTCACCTTATCACCAGAGGAGCAAGAGAGTGTGTAAAGGACTGGAGTCCTCTTTGGAGGTGTTCCCCAAGTGATGTAAAGACCTCTGACTAGGGCCTACCCCTTAAAGATCTCATCACCACCCAAAAGCTCCATAGACTAGGGACCAAGCCTTTAATGCATACATGGGCCTTGAAGGAGCCCTGCAGATTTCAACTACAGCACTCCCCTCTACACCCCTGCAGGCTTTAGTCCTCTTTTCCCTATGGCGCCCCTTCACGGCTACCTCCTCCTCCATGCAGTGCCCAGCATGGCACCCCAACATCACCAATCTCGGCCAGATGCCGGCTTCACATGCAACGTTCCATCCCAGAATGTGCTCACCTGCCTAACCCTCAATGCAGCATATCACTAACTCCTCTCCCACAAACACACCCCTCCCCAAGGACCCTTCTTTAAACTCTGGGTACTACCCCTCCGTGAAGTGGGATCTTTTTCTGTTCCTGCACTAGAATGTGTGTGTGGCACGACTCACATTCCCTGACATATTTATGAGTTGAAGTTACTCCATCGTTTTTTATGTATGCCTTCTCTCAACAAGTACATGATCAGCCTGGTATAGGCAGGGGCTGACCCTCTTCCCGGTCAAGCCCTTCCTGACTACCCACTTCCAGGGGTATCTTTCCTACCTCAGATCCTCACTGCCCATTCAGATACTGGAGCTAGCTTGCATGGATGTTTGCTTCCCGTTCATTCCTTCACTCATTCCCTCATTTATTCTGTGGGCTAGATGACAGTGGGCCTGGACACCCACCTCACTGACTTGGGTGAATCTCTGGACAACTCCTCACTGCAATTGCCTCCTGTTTAGGACGACACAAGGACCCATCTGTCAGTGTTTGTGGATGCATTTACCATCATCCCAGGTGCCAAAGCCAAGGGACAGGTGTCCAGTGACTGAATTAGCATTCTTTGAGAACACACATGACCCACATGGTCAAGAGGGCAGCAGACAGACTCATAAACCCTTGTATTTGCCACCCCACCCTCCTTTTGTTCCTTTTGCTATCTCATTCCCTTTCCTGCCCCACCCTGGACCTACCTTACAGTGGGCACAGAGTAAACATTCACAAACATCTGTCCGCTTCGTGGATGTGAGGTTGCATCCTCCATACTGCTTCTGGGACACTTGGCTCTTATGGGCCTGGAGTTAGTCACTAGAAGGTCCTGGACCTGAGCCAGACATTGGCCATTCCCACTGCCTGCATGGCCTGGAATCACAGGGCAGGAGGTGACTGCAGCAAGGCAGTGACAGGCCATCTTAGAATTTTCACAGGCATTGTCAACCTCTCTGGCCTGGAGTAGCAGCAGCAGTCCCAGCCCTTCCATGGGCAGTGGTATAGGTGCCCCAGGTCCCACCCAACATCTCACCTATCAGATGGCCCCTCTACCAGCCTTAAGGTCTTTCTCTTGGGGTCTGAAGAAGTCCAGCCAAGCTCAGTCCTGCCTCTTCCAAGAAGCTAGGTGCCCGAGTGCATTTGGTGCTCTCATCCAGGTAATTGGCTCCAGGATTCCAACTCAACCATCTAAAATTAATCCTAGTATCATGAGGAGGACAGCACAGGACTAGGACACATGACCCCTGGGCTCTGTGCTCAGCAATGCTGATAACTAGCTGAGCAACTGGGGACAAGGTACTTCCTTTACCAAGCCTCCCTCTTCCTTACAAGCTGCAGGGTGTGTACCTGCCCGCTGAGCTATCCTCCAGGTTCAAAGGTGAGTGCTACTTGTGTACTGGGATCAATGTGGCCTTTCTCAACCAGCTTCCAGCCAGAAAGTCCTTCCCCAAATACAACCTCCTCCTGCAAAGTAAAGTCACTCCTTTTCTGTCAACCTCTGGGTTAGAAGCAAACCTTCCCTGAAATGAGAGAGCTCTCATTTCACTGTTGTAGCCAAGAGTTGGATGGGGAGTTGGTGCTAGACCAGAAAGAAAAAAAGATGAGTTTAATATAGATGGTTCCTTTCATCCTTCAGAACTCAGACTAAATGTCACCTTTCAGAAAGATTTTTTCTGACCACTATCCAAGCCAGGTCTCCCCAACACTATGATACACACCCATTTTTCTCTATCACTGCATCATTCACACTCTGTTGATTTCATCTACAGCAATAACATTCCCTGTAAGTTATTATTTGTTTAATATTTGACACCATATTGTTTTTTTATTGCTACTATAGCAAGTTATCACAAAAACAGTGGCTTTAAACAAGGCAAACTTATTTTCTTGGAGTTCTGGAGGTCAGAAGTCTAAAACCTATTTCACTGGACTAAAGGTTTTGGCAGGCCTCCATTCCTTCTGGAAGCTCTAGGGGAGACACATTTCTTCACTTTTCCACCTTCGGGAGGCTGCATGCACTTCTTGGTTCATGGCCTTCCTCCCTCTGTAAACCAGCCAATGTAGCATCTTCATATATCTCATCTCTTCTCTTCTCTTCTCCTCTCCTCTCCTTTCTCCTTCTCCTTCTCCTTCTCCTTCTCCTTCTCCTTCTCCTTCTCCTTCTCCTTCTCCTTCTCCTTCTCCTTCTCCTTCTTCTTCTTCTTCTTCTTCTTCTTCTTCTTCTTCTTCTCTCTCTCTCTCTCTCTCTCTCTCTCTCTCTCTCTCTCTCTCTCTCTCTCTCTCTCTCCCCTGCTTTTATAGTCACATCTCCTATAATTCTTTTAAGGACACTTGTGATTACATTGGGTCTTCCTGAACAGCCCAGGATGATGTCTCTTATAGCAAAATTCATAAGGGCATCTGGTTCTATGAATTAGGACAAGGACATCTTTGAAAGCCACTAAGCAGACTACCACAACCTCCCCCACTGGAACATAAACTGCAAGAACTTACAGATTTTGCCAGCCTTTTTTAAATGGAATTTTCAATGCAAAAACACTATAAATGATCGAAAGAAATACGAAAGAAGAAAGTACAAATCATATGGTAGAAGGAGTGGTTCTTGTCCCTGTCATCAACGCAGGTGAACAAAGTACTGTTTAGGATTCTTTGCCTTTCTTCTGCAAACAAGGCAGTGTGCCCTAGGAAATGTGATCTTGAAGATGGAGTGTGACAGAGGACAGGGTTCTGACAAGGAGAAAACTGCTGTGCAACACTGGGGAGGATCTCTGGGTATCCTGGAGGCCCAGCCCAAAGCAACTCACCTGCTATATAACTTGACAAGATGTGCCAATGTCCAGCTCCATGATTCCTGACATCCCAGCCATGGTGAAATCACAAGGAATGCATGCAAAACTGTCCCACATCCAACAGGAAAACTCATAATCTGGCATCCAAAAAAATACAACCATAATGAAGAACAAAATTGATCAATTAAAATCAACTCAAAACTGGCATAGATGTTAGAATTAGCACTCCATGATATTAACCCAGTTACCATGACAGTTTTTTCTATGCTGAAAACAAAAATGTAGATACCAAAAAAAAAAAAACATCCAACTGAATATGTATGTGTGTATATGTATGTGTACCAGCAATTAAACCCAGGGGCACTTAACCACTGAGCCACATCCCAAGCCCTTTTTATTTTCTATTTTAAGATAGGGTTTTGCTAAGTTGCTTAGGGCCTCCCTAAGTTGCTGAGGCTTGCTTCAAACTTGCATTCTTCCTACTTCAGCCTCCTGAGCTGCTGGGATTACAAGCATGCGCCAATGTGCCTGGACCAAGTTGAATTTATAGAAATAAAAATTCCAATATGTAAAATGGCAAATACACAAGGTAGAACTAATAGCAGATTAAGCATTGCAGAAGAAGATATTAGTAAACTTTAAAACAGCAAAAGAAAAAAATGAAACAGAAAATAGAATTTTTTAATGAATAGAGCATCAGCAAGCTGTAGAACAACTTCAGTATAGACATATTACACACTCACCCCACACACATACATGTATGTGTGTGTGTGTGTGTGTGTGTGTGTAATTGAGTCTCCAAGGGAAGAGAGGCAGAAAAACATATTTGAATAATGGCCAATAATTTTTCAAATTTGATGAAAATTATAAATTGACATATCCAAGAATTTGCAAGAACCCCAAGCACAAGAAACAGGAAGAGAACTACACCAAGGCTCATCAAAACCAAACTACTCAAAATCAGTGATAAATCCTAACAGAAGGACAAGAAATGCTATGTACAAAGGGACAAAGAAAAGGGTGAGACACCCACTCTCACAAGGCCAACAAGAAGACCAGGGAGGAATACCATTAAAGTACTAAAGGAAAAACAAGGTTAACTCCAGAATTCTGCACCCAAGAGAAACATCTTTCAAAAACAAAGCAACACAGAAACTTTTTATATATTTTTAAAAGCTGAAATAAATCCATTATTAGTAGACCCACACTATAAGAAATATTGAAGCTCATCCATTCTGGGGAAGGAATATCTTCCAGACGCCAGAAGAAAATATGGGTCTGCACAAAAGAATGAAAAGAATCCAGAAATGATAACTGGGTGGTAAATATGCTTCCCTTTTGCTTAAATATCTGTATAAAATAATTCATTAAACAAAAAACAATGGCAATAGAGTACAAAATTGATAACTTAGGTAAAAATTTGTGATGTTAATAACACAAAAATGGAAGGGATACTACTGTTACAATCTTATACCATATTTTAAATGGTATAATATTTCTTGATAGTAAACTATGATGAGATAAAGGTATTATAAGCCCCAAAATAGCCAATAAAATAAAATAATTTTTCAGTTAATAAAATAAAATGGAATCATTTTAAGAATCAAGAATAGAGATTTTTAAAATGAATGGAATCTTAGAGACATATAAAACTCTTAAGGGTTGGATCTGGAATTTCCCCTAAAACCTCATGTGTAGAAGCCTTGATTTCAAGGCAGCATTGTTCACAGAAGGAACTCTTTGGAAGTATTGGATCATAGGGCTCTGACTTCATCAATGGGTTCATCCATTGATGGATTAATAATTTGATGACATTATAATGAGGTGTAGACACTAGGTGGTGGGGCCTAGTTAGAACAAGAAGGTCACTGGGGGCATGTCATGGGAGGGTACACCTAGTCCCTGGTCCCTTCCCCTTCTCGCTCTGCTTTCTGGCTGCCATGACCTCAGTAGCTTTCCTTGTTGTTTGAGTCATATCCTTTTAGGATTGCTAAGTGTCTCTTAATAGATTAACTCTACTAATTATTATATCATGACTTTTTCTATCTCTGATAATTTTCCTTGCTCTGAATTGTACTTTACCTTTAGTATCATGACTTCTGCTTTCCATAGATTGTCTACCATGCTGAAGTCTAAAGAAGTAAAATCGTGTGATCACAACAATCAAAACAAAAAACACTTGATAAAATTTCATGTCCATTTATAATTTTTAAAAATCTCAGAGAAATTGTAAGGTGGAAAACTTCCTTCTTTAAATAAAAGAGTGCAAAAAAAATCCTATAATTAACCAGTAGCATTATACTAAATTGTAGGCAAGTAAATGCTTTCCCCCAAAATTGAATATAAAGAAAGGCTCTCCACTCCCAACACTCTCAATCAACATGTGACTGGAAGCTCTTAGCCAGTGTAATAAGGCAAGAAAAGGAATTAAACTACATATGCATTTGGAAAAGAAAGAAAGAAAATTCGCTATCAATGACATGACCAACTATGTAGAAATCCCAAGGATTCTACAAAAAAAACTCTTAGAATTAATAAGCTTAGTAAGATTATAGTGTGTAAGATATACAAGTCAACTATATTTCTATGTGCTAGAAATAAACACATGGGAATCAAAATTTAAAATACAATACCATTGAAAATCACTTATAAAAAAATACTTAGTTGTAAATCAAACAAAACATGTACAGTACTTACATGTTAAAAACTACTCTTGTTGATGAACTCAATCAACTAGATCTAAGCAAATGGTAAGACGTCAGTGTTCATGGATTAGAAGGCTCAACAGAAATGAATAAAAATATTAATTCTCCCCAAATTAATATCATTGCTTTAACAGAATTTCTACCAAAATCCTAGTAACATTTATATAGGTACAGAAAAGACTATTATAAAATTTATATTGAAAGATAAATGAACTAAGAATAGCTTTAATTTTAAAAAAGAAGAGGAAAGAATCAGCCTACTTGATTTCTACACTAATAGAGCTATAATAATCAAGTCTGTGTGATATTGGCAGAGAGATAGACACAAAGATAAATGGAACAGAATAGAGAATCCAGAAATAGATCCACACAAATATGCTGAATTGATTTATGACAAAGGTGCAAAAGCAATTGAATGGAGGAAAAATAGCCTTTTCAACAAATGGTGTTGGAGACATTGGACATCCATAGGCAAACAAAAAGAGCCTTGACCTAAATCTTACACCTTATACAGAAAGTAATTGAAATGGATCACAGAATTAAATGTAAAATGTAAAACTACAAAATATTTAGGGGAAAAGGGGGAAGAATAACTAAGGCTAGGCAAAGAGTTCTTAAACTTGATACTAAAAGAAGGTTGAAAAAGGAAAATTTGATAAATTAAATTTAATTAAAAAAATCTTTTGCTCTTCAGAAGACTTTGTAAAATGATTGAGAAGAAAAACTACAGAGTAAGTATGTCTACAAAGTACATGTATAACAAAGGATCCTATCTAGAATATATGAAGAAGCTTCAAAACTTAACGGTTAAAAAAAAATCCAATTAGAAAATAGGCAAAAGACATGGAAAGGCATTTCCCCATTGAGGATATACAGATGGAAAACAAGCACATGAAAAAATGTTCAACATCATTACCCTTTAAGGAAATGCAAATTAAAACTACAGTGAAATATCACTACATACTCATTGAAATGGCTAAAACTGTCAAAAATGGCTAAAATTGAAAAGATAGTGACAATATCAAATGCAGATGAGAATGTAGAGAAACTGGATGACTTACACATTACTGATGGATGTGTTCAATGGCAAGACACTCTAGAAACCTGTTTAGCAGTTTTGTTGTGTTTTTTAAGCTAGCTTATGACTACCGTACAACTCAGCAATTGGACTCTTGAGTATTTATCTCAGAGAAAGGAGGACTGTTGCTCACACAAAAATCTGTATATGAATAGCAGCCATATTCATAATAGTTATAGGCCAGAAACAATAAGATGTCTTCCAGCAAATGAATGGTTAAATAACCATGGTAGATCCATACCATGGAACACTACTCAGCAACAAAAAAGAACAAACCCATTCCTTCAGGGAATCATGGTGGGTGAAAAAAAGCCAGTCCCCAAAGTTAGACACAGCATGATGCCATTCATGTAGCACTCTTGAAATGACAAAATTGTAGAAATGAAGAATAGATTAGTGGTTGTCAAAGCCTAAAGAGGAGTGGGTGTTGCTGTAAAAAAAAAAAAAACCAACATGAGGGATCCTGTGGCAACGAAACTGTTTTGCGTCTTGATTGTGTGACGTACAAGGTGTGATGGTGTATTCAAATTGGGAGAAACTGATTAAAAAATACATGTGACCTCTTTGAACTATTTCTTGAAAATGTATATGAATTTGAAGATAACTGCAATTATGTCAAAATAAAAATTTCATTAAACATTGTTTCTAGGGGCTGGGGTTGTGGCTCAGCGGTAGAGCACTCGCCTAGCATGTGCCAGATCCTGGGTTCAATCCTCAGCACCACATAAAAATAAATAAATAAAGTATTGTGTCCAACTACAACTAAAAAATAAAAATAAATAAATAAACATTGTTTCTAAGCTGGGTGCAGTGGCACATGCCTGTAATCCCAGCAGCTCGGGAGGCTGAGGCAGAAGGATTGCAAGTTCAAAGCCAGCCTCAGCAACTGAGGGAGGCCCTAAGTGACTCAGTGAGACCTTGTATCTAAATAAAATATAAAAAAGGCCTAGGGATGTGGAACAGTGGGTAAGCATCCCTGGGTTCAATCCTTAGTACAAAAAAATAAATAAATATTCATTTCTAAGACAACAAATACAATGACCACATATTTTATGACTCCATTTATATGAAATGTCCAGAATAGGCATATCTATAAAACATAAAAATGATTGCTTAAGGTTGAAGGTGGGAGGAAAAAGGAATGGGGGTGGCTGCTAATGGATATTAGGTTTTCTTTAAGGATAATAAAAATGTTTTAACACTAGATTATGTGATAGCTTCACAATTCTAAATATACTAAAAACCATTGAACTGTACACTTAAAATGGGTGAATTTACACTGTGTAACATGTCTCAATTAAACTGTTAAAAAGAAAGAAAGAAAGCCAGAGTGGTTGTGTTATATCAGACACAG